AAGTTTAAAGCACCCAAACTTCGATGTCTTTACTTACCATGACGAAGTTAATCAATTACAGTAGCATCCACGGTTGTGTTTTAATTATAGACATCGGGATGTTCTGTAGTCACAACCCTTAAATTAAAGCAAATCTTCATGTATGTCAAGCAAAGTATAAACGTATACAGTTGAACCTCATTAACACTAAATCGCTTCACGTGATATATCACTTTGCATGAAACACGTGTTTAGTCCCGTGAGTCAGCAACCAATTATTATTACATTTTACATGTTTAACATAAAATATTTTGGCTAATTATCATTTAACATGAAAGGAAACAGGACAAAGTGCCGATAATATACATGTGAATAAAGTGCCAATTATTCATTTTAAGGAATGATTTTTCTATTTCTTCCCCCCCTTTGATCATAATCCGTATTAATAGTATGTAAAAAATCGTTTTCATGATGCATCGAATAAGATGAAATCCGGTTAGCATGAAATAATTATGATTGCTCATCAATTTTGTATTAAGGAAGTTCGACACACACACACACACACATATATATATATATATATATATATATAGATAGATTATAATTTTTTTATCCATATGTTGTCAATTATTAGTATGCATTGCTAATGAGCTTAATGAACACAGTTAATAGTCATTGATATGGGTTTAAGATAACAAATTTGAACAGTATTTAAGAAAGTAATANAAATTATCCAGGTGCATCTAAAAGTGGATGAATATCCCAAGACACCAAATGGGATATGATTTTTACTGAATTAAATTCTATTTTTACTGAGGTTTTTAGCAGTTATTCATGTTTGTTTGGTTTTGTCTAGTCAGCACCATCTATGCTAATTATTAAACTAGCACAAAACATCAATGTTAAAAAAGAGCACAATGATAAAAACAAAAAGCATTTGTCTTCGAATTTTTTAAAAATTGAAAAGTTCACTAGTGCTGCAATGTGTGGGCGGAATAAGATGTAGATATTTAGAATTATTTGTTTCCTTCGATAATTTTCTTTAAGATGGAAAAATCCAGCCCAATTGCCAAATTTTCAATAAGTTTATTATTCCTTAAAATTCAATCTTTTTCCATTTATGATCAGAAAACTCTTTTTTGTTAAGTAGTTTAAATAATTTAACCTGCATCTTTTGTTTGAAATTTAAAGCACCCAAACCGCGATTTCTTTACTTACCATGACGACAGAGCTTTAAAATTAACCTTTTTAACAAAATAAACCTCAACTTATTAATTATTTCATATAAAAAGTGTTCGTCATAATTGATAAATATGCTGTAATGTTTAATTGAAAAGGAGACAAAACTAGGTTTACCATGCTAAACTTAAACAGCAGAACTGAACTGCGTTATAAAGTCTGATGAAAAATTAAAAGGGAAACAAAAAAACGAAAGAGTGGGGCCAAAACACTACAGTCTTCATCGAGATAACACATAAATGATGAAAACTAAATTAAAAACAAAGCAAAACTCAAAAGCACAAAACAAAATAAAACATAGATGAATTGTACAAATTATTTTATTGCTTTCTAACCTTTCTTCTAAGTTTTCATAAATTTGTTGTATTTTCTTTTATTTCTACTAAAGAAAGATTCTCTTTATTTCAAGTACATGTTCTCTTCAGTTTCATGAAGATTTCATAGAATCGTTTCACTGAGTGCTTCGGCTCAAGAAGCAGAAATCTCTTTATGTTCTTTGTGGTGACTGATTCCTTATATACTTAGGGGAGATTGACGGCAAAAATCTCCTCTTGTACCAGAAGTTCCAATTATAGAAAAAGAGTACAATAACAGGGTGGTGACAATAATATTACCTCTTCTTGGAACGAAAATCAAAATATCATGTTCAAAAATTCAGTTGATGTTGTTTCTAAAAAGAGTTTTGATAAAATGTCTACAAAATTGGTTTAGTAGTCAAAAGGATCGTAAACCGTAGGAGAAATTTTTCATGAGAAATTCTATTGCATCATCTTGGTGACATTGGCAAAGTGACTTCGGATAAATTCAGAATAAACTATGAATGCAGATTTTTTCTTTCAAAATAATAAAATGTCTCAGAATTACTTTCCCTCTGCGTACTCACGAGTAATCTTGCTATAATTTGTTTGCCATTTCGAAAAATATTTTTCGGTCTTTGAAATTTCTGGGCTGTCTCTTGTTTTATTTGCATTCACTTTTCTATACTATGAATTTTAAATTACTTTTATGGATAAGAAGAATTTCCCATGAAGAGCTGCTTCTAAGGTACAGCGTCTTCTCAAGGTGATTTTTTTTTCTTCTAAAGAAAGATGAGAAAACCAGTTTGGCTCAAGGGCTAAGGCATTCGCCATGCAATGAGGAGAGTCATGCTGGAATCACATCAGTGGGTGACTGATACAAATTCTGCTCCCAACTCGCACCGACCACAGTGCTCACGGAAAATATATTCAATGGTAGACAGATAATTGGTTAGATTCCCGTTGCCTTCATGCGAAATATGTTAGGTTAATATATTAGGCTAAGTGCGTGACGTGTTAGGTTGCCATGGTCTTCCTCCCCACATAACACAAATGCTGGAGAGTTCCATCCAATCCTTAATCTGGAAGTTTCCTTGTATTCTGGGTTGGATTCAAAATTGCAATACTACGGAGTTCAACATTAGACGTAAACACTAATTGACTTGACTGTTCAATACCGGTTATAAAATAAAAAGAGATAGAACGAAACCATTCCATAAAAATTCTTCAAGTATAACTATCATCTTTCTAAATTTACTTAAAGTGCGAGATATTGTAAGCCACGAAAAGAAGTTAATCAATTACAGTAGCACCCACGGTTGTGTATTAATTATAGCATCGGGATGTTCTGTAGTCACTACCCTTAAATGAAAGCAAATCTTCATGTATGTCAAGCAAAGTATAAACGTATACAGTTGAACCTCATTAACACTAAATCGCTTCACGTGATATATCACTTTGCATGAAACACGTGTTTAGTCCCATGAGTCAGCAACCAATTATTATTACATTTTACATGTTTAACATGAAATATTTTGGCTAATTATCATTTAACATGAAAGGAAACAGGACACAGTGCCGATAATAAGCATGTGAATAAAGTGCCAATTATTCATTTTAAGGAATGATTTTTCTATTACCCCCTTTGTTCATAATCTGCATTAATAGTATGTAAAAAATCGTTTTCATAATGCATCGAATAAGATGAAATCCGGTTAACATGAACTAATTATGATTGCTCATCAATTTTGTATTAACGAAGTTCGACACACACATATATTTAATATCTTCCTTA